GACTCTAAAAGAAGACCAGAAGAAATGAAGTATTGGAAACACAATTTAGCTTGCCAGACAATAGTAAAAGCAAAAGAAATAGAAATAAGCATCAGAGCAGAAAATTGTTTGTAGAGAGTACATGAATACAGAATAGATATAAGAGAATTAGTTAGGGTTAGATCATGGACAGCAAGTAGTAGCACAATAAATGAAAAGGGGCTAGTATATTTGAACCAGCTTGTGGACATAAAAGGAAAGAACCTAATTATATGAAGACAGTTCAAAAGTCTTCTAGGTTTGTTATTCAAAGGGAAAAAAGCCAAATAGTTTAGTGAAATAGAAGAAAAGACATTAAAAACATGAACAAGTAGAGAAATACATAACCAATACAAGATTAGTAACTACAATACACAGGCACTAATGATTAATTAAACAAAGATATTGGAGAACAGAAGGAAGAGAGAGTGGATCGTACATGAACCAAAGCATAATCAGCAACTTAGCAAGATATTAAAGAAGAAAAGGAAAAAGATTCTTGCTGAGCACTGGTTGTTACAAAAAGTAGAAGGCAAGACATATACTAAGATAATTAAATGTAAAGGTTGTGAGAACAGGACAAAACAAAGTGTAGATAAGTGCAAAAGATAAATAAGCTAGAATAATAATATAAAGGCAGTTCTAGAAACATTAATAGAAAAAGGTAGTAATAAGATTAATGCAACATTAGAGCAAATGCTAGAGAACAGAACAATAGAAGAATGGAAAAAAAAGAGAAAGGTCTAATCGAACTTAAACAAGTAGAAGAACTAGAAATAGAATTAATCAAAAAACAAAAATTCGATAGTAAAGTCACAAATTACTTAATAGAAGTCTTAACAAAAAACAAGAAAAGAAACAAAGACAAATATATGCTTTATACAGATGATGCATTATATAAAAAGAAAAAAGAATATAGTATAGGAAAGTTGAACATCAGTTGGGTGCAGGTTAGTAACAGAAAAAATTGGTCAGAAAAAGAAATGGCACTAGGAATTGAAGGTTGGCCCTTAGCAACAACAGTGGAATTAGTAGCAATATGGTTAGCAATCTTAATCATACCAGAAGAGAAGTATATAGAGGTGCATACAAATAGCCTCACAGCATTAAGGCATATTAACAGAGCAATTCAAGAGATAGAAGATGACAAAGTTTTGAAAAAGAAATACACAATGTGGATAGTGAATATTGTTGGTTTACTCAAAAGTAAGAATAATAAAATAGAACTAGTTAAGATTAAAAGTCATAGTAATAACAAGTGGAACAACAGAACAGATATATTTGCAAAAAAAGGAGCAACATGTAGAAGGACAATAGTTACAGAGAAGATCAAGTATGACACAATAGAGTACTATTTAGAATAGAAAAATAGAAAAGTTAATATACCAGCAAGACTTCTATATAAAATAGTCATGAATGCTAGAATTGAAGTTAGTTAGAGAGAAACAAACCCAATTCGAGCACTAGAGTCAGAAACTGAAAACACTAGATATAATTGGTCAAGCTTTTGGAAAGAGATAAATAGAACAAAAGATGTATATTGCACAACAAGAAAACTTAGTACAAGAAAAGCAACAGTAATCAAATATATAATGAATAGCCTACTAATGCTAGAGGAACTAAATAGAAGAAGACCAGAAATATATACAATGACTAACTGCCAAGTATGTCAAAAAGGTGAAAAGGAAACTCAAGCACACTTAGCAAGCTGCATTAGACAAAAAAGCTTGTGAAAGAAAATTCAAAAGGTAACAATAGCAGCAACATGGAACATCTAAAAGAAAATAAAAAAGTTAGAATCCCACCTCTAGTACTATATGAGGTACTTTTCGGGAAAACAGAAACAAAAGAAATTATAAACAGAACAGCTTTGATAAAAGGACTAACAACAAATAAAGTTGGAAAAAGAATCAGTCAGATTCTAAATAGGCAGGCAACACAGAAATACATAGATACAGTGACAAGAACAGTATGGAATACATTCTATGACCAAGTATGGAGAGTTCAATATAGAAAAGTACAAAAATAGAAAAAGAAGGTTAATACAACAGGCAGAATGAAAAAAGGTGCTTGAATCAAAAGAAGATCAGAAAAGAAAACAAAGAAGAATAAGATAACAAAAGAAGAAGTAAAGGAAAAGAAAACAGAAAAAATAAGCAGAATGAAGAAAGAAGCTTGGAAGTCAATTGATATGCTTGTTACAGAAGGGGGAAGACCCTTCTAGTATGGCTTTAAGTAGTTAGACAAGCAGTCTATCTTTAACTAAGATAGTGCAGCAGGTTGCACTTAGGCACCAATAGGGTGGCCAAGTAATGCTAAACTTAAGTATTGTGAAATTCTATGTAATTATAGATATATATAGTTTCAAGAATCTTAATAAAGTATTAGTATAACTGCTTAAGGTTAAAAAAAAAAAAAAAAGACACAAATATTTTAGCAAGTGACATATTAGTAGAAAATAATTTTTAAGAAATAAAATTTAACAAAAAAATTAAATATTTAGTCAAACATGAGTTAGAAATTAATTGTGATTTATGTTCTTTTACGAGAGATAAAATAATAATGTGTTTAGATCTTAGTAAAATAAATGTTTGTTTAAAAAACAAACTTAAGATAATGAATCATCCTATTTTGATAAAGAAAATTATTTATTTGTGATGTTTTTAGATTATGCTAATTTCATGTTTTATTTTAAAAAAAAGACTATGAATGATGAATTTACAACATATATTATAGGAGAAGGTTATGATTTTAATACAGATAATTCAGAAATTCTTTCATATATAGGAAATAGTTACATTGAATCAGCATGAAGTCCTCATATAACTGAAAAAAAACTAAACTCAATGTTAACTACAGTAAGAGATTGTTGTGATAAAGAAGAAGAAGAATAGTTTTATTTTTTATTTTTATTAAATTAATTTAAAATATATTTTATCAATAAATAAATTCTTTTTTAAAATATATAAATACTTTGTTCTTTCTTTTATTTAATAAATAAACTAAAAATAAATTATAGAAAAATACACCCATCATTTACTTATGTTATCGCATCTTGTAATGATCATTCAAAAACTAATTCTTGTATAAGTAAAAGAGACCCTGAAGCAATAATTAATGTTTTTGAAGCTCCAATTGTAGCTGATGATAAATTAATTTTTCAATTATTTAAAGATTTTAATATATAAGATTGTACCAAGATTCAAAATTTGACTATACTAATCTCGAATTATATGATATTGTAGTAAAATTTAAAATAACATCATTTTATTATTTGGATATATCTGAAACTTTTGAAATACCACAGCTTTTAGAAAAAAGAAAAACTATCACTCCTATTTTACCAAATTCCTTAAAATTAACATTCTATGTAGTTGAAATATGTGATAAACCTATAGCTGAACAACTAAACCCTAAAATGGGCGATATACTTCTAGAAAGTGATGTTTATGATGTTGAATTTAGAGAATATATTAATCCAATTTTAAAATATGAAAAAGAAATCACATGTAGAGAATGCATGTTTCAATCACATGTTTTTGAATTTTGTTTGAACTTTAACAAAATGAAAGTATGTGTGCTATCTGATGAAACTACTGCTAAAACTTTTAATTAAGGAAACTATGCACTCATAGTCTTAATTGATTACTTCAATCATTTCTATAAATTTAAGATGAAAAGAAGTGATGCAAATGCTATGCTACTTGGAGATACTTTTGACAGTACTATTGGAAATTGTGATGTTCCATTATTTTTAACTTATATTAGAATCAAATTGATTTGAAAATCTAATTTTGATTCACATAATCCTATGAGTAATATATTTGATTTGATAAAAAAATGTTGTAAAAAAACCAGACCCAATAGATGATGATGAAGTGCTTGATAATGCATAATATATAATTATTATTATTATTTTGTATTTAAATTAAAAATATATAAATAAACAAATTATTTTGTTATTTTCTTTAAAAAATGAAATTTCTAAAAATCCTTATTATTTTGTTACTTTTTTTAAATGTAGTTGCTTGTGCTCGTGTTAAAGCTAAAACTAAAACTAAAACTAAAGTTAAAGCTAAAGCAAAAAATCAAATATCAATATCAAAAGATCAAATCTCAGTAGTTGTAAATGATTTTTTACTACCTTAATTACATACTTGGAATTTTAAAAAAGAAAATTATGAATGAGTATCGAATAAAAATGGTAAAATGTGTAAAAATTACCTTGAAGGTTTATATCTCTAAACATTTTCTAAAGGTAGTGCAAAAGCAAAACATATGCCAATATATAAACCTAAAGGAGCTAACTTGAAAAGACCATGATCATAAAAAATCTATAAATATTGATACTTTTTTTTGTTAAAAAAAAAAAAAAATAACTTCTGAAATTTTTTTGTTGCTTCTTATTTGTACAAGAATGTACTATAACAATATAAATAACCAAACAATAATTGTTATTAACTATGATAATAAGGAGCTCATTAAATTCATTAATATAATAAATAAATCTTTTATTAATAAATTTATTTCTTTAACTAATGAATTCAAACATTATGCAAGACATTAATATTTAATGAAGAATTTATCGACCATGATATAGATTTTGAAGAATTTAATATAGGAATTACAGACCATATTAATTTTATTTATTATTTACTTAAATGATATTTTTAATATCTTATTTATTTGAAAATAAAAATAAAAAATATATATACTTTTTACATTTATTAAAAAGAAAAAAAACAAACAAAATAAATATAAAAAATTAAAATTTTTTAATATCAATAAGTTCTTCGCTAACTTTGACCACCTGGTCAATTTTTTGTTTAAATGTTTCATTCTTATTAAATGTTACTCCAAAATTTATCAATGCTTGTTCGATTTTATTAACCTAAAATAAATAAAGTGAACAAAAAAAAAAATAAATAAAAAAAAAAAGTTCGAAAAAAAATACCAGATTTTGATTAGTTAGTTGTTGATTATTTAACTTAGAAGATACATAACCTAAATAATGTTTTGTAAATTCAAATCATTAAATGAATTTTCACTATCTAAATTCATGTATTTATTCAAATATTTAATCAAATAATGTTTAGATAAATTAATAAATCATTTATATTAAATGATTTATTCATTAAATGAATTTTTGCTATCTAAATTTTTGTATTTATTCAAATAGTTGATTGAATGTTTAGATGGGTTAATAGAACATTTATGTTAAATGATTTATAGTATTTAAATTATTTTCCTGAAAAATCATATAAATAAAGAAATAGAACATAATTTTTTTCTTTAACTTCAAAATGAAAACTAAATGTAAAATAAATAATATATACCAAAATTGTAATTATTGAAAACAAGTTATTAAACCTCTTAAACCAACTAAAGATGATGAAATATTGGAATTTTTTCTTTCAGAAATAGCATCCATTCAGTATCAACAAAGTGATAATATGGTTGCTAAACTTAAAAAAAAGATTCAAGAAATATTTGATCTCGAAAAATTAAAAGAAATAGAAGTTTAGATAAAGAAATACAGAATTCAAATCTAAATAAAAAACAAAAAGAAGAATTACAAACATTATATATAAATCAAGAAATAATGATTATCAAATACAATGAGATCAAGAATGGAATCAAAGAAGAAACTGAAATCGATCGATTAAGAGATTTTCAATTCTGGTATATGCAAATAACTGATAGTCAAAATCAGATAAAAAAATTAAAAGAAGAACTTCAAAAAAAGAGAAAATATAGATTAGATTTTCTAGCTAATTATGCTGCAGAATTCAATAGAATTCAACAAGAAATTCAAAATGAAACAGAAATAGAAATATTAAAAAATTTCTGGTTAAAAGAAATCACTAAATCTAAATTAGAAGATGAAGATAAACAAAAACTCAATGAGCTCAGAGAAGAACATATCAGAGAATTAAAACAAACACAATCTGAAACAAATGATTTCAATCAGATAAGAGATGGTATATGTGATGAACCACATTCACCATCTTTAAAAGTTAATAGATAATGATTCAGAGAAATTCGAAACAGTAGAAATCTGAATAAACAACAAAAAGTTACTTTAAATATACAATGTGACAAAAGATTAAAAGCTTTATCAAATGAACAATATGACAAAATTAGTAAAGAAATCCCTGAAATTGATACTGCAACTCTGTTAAATGATGAATAATGTATAGATACTACAAATTGAGAACTGAAAAATAAGAATCTTATAAGAGATAAAAATGTTGACACTTTGCAACAAATGAGAAGAGGAAGGTATCAACTAATTGAAAAAGAGTCTAAAATTATGAGATATAATAGATATAGAAGTTAAATTACAAACTTTTACAATAACAGACAAATTGTTCTACTTTCAAATAATAATACTCTTGCTTGTAATATTGACAGACTCAATTAAACTCTGATAGATAATGATAGAATCAAAAATGATCTAGTCAATCTAAGAAAATGTAGATACAATACTTTATTATATAATATTATTAAAAATGAAATGAAAGAAGATAATGATAAACAATCATTCTAAAATGATAAGAAGTATGATCTGCTTATTTAAACCTTGGAACAAGATTTCTTAGATTCGCTATGTATTGTAAAACAACTACAGAAGTTGAGAAAATGACTATTTTTAGAATAAAAAATAAAATTAAATAAAAAAAAAATAGATAATATAAATGATGCTTTCAACTCACTATTCAATGAAAAATTAAGATATAAAAATAAAGTATTATGTTTGATAAGAGAACTGTTGCTAGGTTACATAGAGAAATTTTCTTATAGAGATTACATCGAAACATTGTTAAATAGTGATTATTTTGATAATGAAATAAATAAATTAAATAATCAAAATAAAAAATGCATCCTTTAAAATCTTCATATAAGAACTGCTAAAATCTATAAAGATAAAGAACAAGACCAATATTTTATTGATAAATCAAATCAACAATTTTATTCAATATGTGATATTAAAGATGTAAATGAATTTGTCAGTAAAATAATAAAGAAAAATTATCTTTATAAACAAATAAAAAAATTATTCAATCAAGAAGATGATATGATAAATTTAGCAAGATGGTTAAACCAAATAATAATGAATGAACTTTTTTCAAAAAAATCAGACTACTAGTAAAAAATTATATACATCTAAATGAAATTGATAAAATCTTAGAAAAAGATAATAACTTGGACCAATTAGATAATAAAAAACAAAAACAAGAATCTAGAAAAATAAAGAAAATAAGAGAAGATATTAACATAATAATTTCTAAAACAAGACTATTCTTAATGAGACAAGGTTACCAAACATTAGATATAAAAATATGTATTAAAGAAATTCTAAAATTATATAAAGCTATCATAATTACCTCTGATAAAGAAATTAGTTTTTTGAAAAACTTGCTATTAAATAATATCATTAAATATTCAGATTCATCAATATTTAACAAATACAATATAAAATCAGAAAAAAATAATGAATTCTTTATTAATTTAATAACAATAACAAAATAACTTTTTCTTGATATAGTGTTCAAAATCCTAATCAAAAGAGAAGAAAATCTGAGATTGGATGAAAAAATAGGAAACATTTTTGATGATATTGAAGTTTAACATATTATGAGTACATTTTCTGCAGTTACAAAAATTCAATGCAAAATAAAAGAAAAAGATAATAAAATAGAAGAACTTAAAAAAAGAATAGAAGAACTTGAATAAAAGCAAAATAAACTCAATAAAACATTAAAACAGGATTCTTTAAAATTTATGCTAGTCTCATTAACTAGTTTTCTATCAAATTTTCAATATTTATTTAGACATGTGATTAAAACTCTCATAACAATTTATATTTTTATTTATATTGTGAATCAATTTTTTAGTATAGATATACAATGTATTATAATTTAATTTATTAACATATTTAATAAAATTTTAAAACAAAACTACAAATTAATTAATAGAAAATAGTAAAACAAAATCTTTGAAGAGAACAGATTCAATCAAATTTCCTTAATTAATTTGTAGTTTTACAAATTTTTCAGACAATAAATATATTTTTTTATCATTTATCAATTCAAATTTAAATAAATTTCTAAATGTAAAAAATGTATGAATGAAAGACCATCTTTAATTAAATATATTGCTCCTGTATTTAAGTTTTTAATACAATCTTTTGAGTATACTGAATAGGAACAATGATAAATATATATATTTAACAAATTATTAAAAGTAGTTCTAGAAACCAATATCTTAAATTGTGAATAACTAAATTTCTTATAATAATTATTTTGATTTTTTTAAACAATTTCACTAATAATTCAATCTTTAAATAATATTAAATATTGTTCAAAAATTTCTTTTTTGCATTCTTTAAGCTTATCATTTATTCATATTTAAAATTTATTGTTTATATTTTTAACTGAGATGTTTAATAAAATATTTGAGATAAGTTTATAAAACATTTTGTTAACAGATGATGAAGATTTTATTTCATCAAATGATATATATTCATATTCTTCAAGAATCATCAAATATATTTCTTCTAAAAACATTTTAATTTACATAACTAAAAATCTAATTGGTTTAAACTAATTAGAGTTAAGAAATACATTTACACTTTTTAGTTTTACAAGTAAGATCAATTCTATTATTCTTACTCAAAGTAATTCTGTTACAATCAAAACATTGATTGAAATTGACTTCACATCTCAAAAAATGATTTAAGAAATAAAATAAATCTTCTTCTTAATAAATATTCAAAACCTCATTCTTTTTATAAACTAAGAGATTTTATATTTACAAAGATAAATCTCATATTTATAACTAATATCATAATGATTGAAAAATTTTGATAAATAATCATAATCAAGAAATCTTATTTTAAAATCTTCTCCTTTGACTTAATTGGTAAAAGGTGAATTATAGACATCACAACGATTGATGGTTTCTTTGATAAGTAAATTAGTCTTTTTTACAAAAACAAGTTCAATTTTCCCACAACAAGAACAAGTATTGAATCTATATTTTTGTTTACTTGATTCCAAATTTTTTTAATACACATTTTGAAAAAATATCCAAAACTTCATCATTATCTTTTTTAATCATATAAATTTTCTCTTTTTTATCAATGAAAAAGTTATGTTATTTATTTTAATATTTGTCAAAAAATTTATTTGGATCTTGTAAAGTTGATGACTTTACAATGAGTTGTTTAGTATTTTTATCACATATTTTAAATAACTAAAAATCTAATTGGTTTTAAAACTGATTAGATAATAAATTTATTTAAATACTAATTTTAATATTATATCTGCATAAATCAAAGGAACATTTGTTTTTAAATTTAATTTTTGCTAATTTTACTTCAAAATAAAGTAATTCGAATAAATATTCTCTGCTAACTTTATCAACAATATTCTGGTCTTTATCAAAAACAAATTCATGTTTTTTTAAAAAAGGTCTTTGATCTTTATTTAATATAATCTTTTGATGATTAGGTAGCAATATTATTTGAATATTTTTAATTATTTTTTTATTGTTATCATCATAATAAAGTGGTCTGCGATAATTTGTTCCTTGGTTTTCTCTGAACCAAGTTTAATTTTTTGTATATATAAACATTATTAAATTAATGTCAAAAGAATCTAATTGGTTTAAAACTGATTAGAAGTAACTAGCAACAATTTTTCAGAACCCCAGCCTAAAAAATTGTATAAAATTGTGCCACACTTTTTACCAGAACGATGCTTTACACTCTTTTTTATTCTTCAGAAGAACTAATTTTATTTTTTTTCTCAGTTTGTTTCTATCGATATAACAAACATCTTGATTTGATGATTAACAATTTCAACAAGTTGGAATTGTTTCTAATCAAGATCTCATTTTTGTCATATCTTGGAAACAAATTTTAGGTTTTTTTGAATTTAACAAGTTTTTATAAATAAAAAAAAATATATAAATATAATTTATTAATAAAAATATTACATTTCATAAACTTTAATTATTAATCAATCAGATTTAATATTTGATTTGTTTTTATATTAATTTGATATTCTTAAATCATTGATGTCTTTAACATCATTAATATGGCATGACCTTGTCTTGCCTCAAATTATTGTAGCAAATGCATCAAACATGATAAGATTTGCTCTATATATTTTTTATCTTGTTTGTCTTCTCTCTCTTTCTTCTCTTTCTCTGCAGAGTTTATATTATATAAAAGAATTTCGAACACCTCAATTTGATGATAAACAATTACAACAAGTTGTAATTGTTTCTAATCAATATTTCATTTTCGAAATTCTTTCAATAATTAAAATTAAAACTGATTTACAAAATAACTATTTCGATTTTCAGTTTTTAGATCATGTTCTAATTTAAAATCTATCACTTGTTGTTTTGCTTGTTCAAAATTTATATTCTTTTTAATTTTAAAATTTTTACTTTTACATTTATTATTTTCCTACTATTTAAATCTTTATCAATTTCTAGATTTATTTTTTTTTTTTTTTTTTTTTTTCTAAATATATTCATTTTTTCTACTTCTTTTTTTTTTTT